CTTCTCCCTCAATAAAACCTCCTTCCTTCCTTCCCACTTCCGTACCTTCGGCTACACCCACTCCGGAATGACTGTAGCTTCCAGTCCCGTCAGTCTTGAAGAGGTCGACTAATCTGTACCTAATCCTCTTTATACTGATGCAGTCGAAACACATGAACCGTAACCTACGGTAGTCAAGGCAAACGCCAACTCAAGTTACATATCCTACAGTATAGGCTATACACACAAACAACACACTATCAATAAAGCACATAGGCCCACCCGGGCAGTTATCGTCCTATAGTCCAAGGGCTATATTGTACGTCCCTGGCGCGGTATCAGTAACAGGTACCAGAGGTACCTGGTGCTGGTACCGTATCCGTAGCTCAAAAACACAGAGTTGAACAGGTACAGGTATCCTAACTATCTACCCTGCGGGCCAGGTATTCACAGAGCACAGGAACATAACACCCCCTAGGCCTAACCACTTTCTTACCAACAATCATCCAAAAAGCCCTGTCCAACGCCTTAACAAAGCCCTGTCCAATGCCTTAACAAAGCCCTGTCCAATGCCTTAATAAGGCATCATCAACTACTTGCCTGGGATGACCTGTTCTTACATACAAAATACTCTGTAACAAGCCTTTACCCTCTACTGAACCTTATCCCTGTCCACAAATCCCAGAATTCAAGTTCCAAACTGTATCCCGACAGACACTGTTGCCATTCATCATCAAAGACATCTACACCTCACCATCCAAACTGAAAACAGAAGAATGAGGAAAAAGAATGAGGAAAAAGAAAAACTAACCAACAGCTAATTAAAAAAAACAACCTGATATGCATCCTGTACATGTTTCTAATGTCAGAATGGCAATATATGCTAGATCGCAACCAATGGTAATGAGCTTCATTCGGACGATGAAGTCAGCAATTTCACAGTCTGCTGCCACGTCTCATCTTTACCCACAACAAACTTCTTCAACACCCTCTCAAAACTGTCAGGAGGAAAACCTTTCAAACGGAGTTCTCTTTTTACCGTCAGGACACGCAACGGGATCTCCGACCATACAGTTGTATTCTAATTGATCCAATGCAGATGACTACAGATAATGGCGTTCTTCTGCTGTTTGCTCCCCCAAGACGAATAGGACTGGCCATTTTGAAAAACCAATTTCTCTTCCATCCAGATAGTCTCCTCGTTCTTGGTTAACTGAACACATCTAAGGAAAGGGTTTCGCTGGGATGTACGGACTTCACATCCCAAGAACTGTAAAATACCATCGCCGGAATCAGTCCTTTTGAATGTCAGTGTCTCAAGGTAACAGCACTCAAACCTTCGTACAATCTCCTCTCGAACCTTCTCCTCTAGGGCCGCCGTGATCAGAATGACATCATCGATCAATCTTACACCAAACACCTGCTTTTTTACCGCCCAATACTTTTAAAAAACTTACATTCTGCCAACGCGCACATGATGCATGCGAGGGGAGGGCTAGTGCTCTTACCCATCGGGTTACCTATCACCTGTCTCAGCAGCACCCCGGTAGCATACATGTACGTGTGACTCAATTCCAAGCGGATGAACTTCAAGATGTCCCGCAGATCTAAGCGTCGCCAGTGGTCAGCGCCTGTAGTAACCCCAAAACTCACACCCTTGCCTCTTGTGTTCACCCTGACGAACGATTTCCCTTTCTCCTGATAGTGGTTAACAATCCAACTAACAGCATCTAAGATATCACAATAAGGAAGTCGACTAAACATTTCTTTAATGTCGTACGACCCAGATTCAACCTCAGATGCATGCATCAGATTCCCAATCTTCTTGTTAATTCGCTGCAATCGTCGTGCAAGATGTGAAACTGCTTGCAGGTTGAAATGACAATCAATGGGTAGCTGGAACAATAGGTGGTTAAGTCATTTTGCAACCAACCTCCCTATACGAACCATTGGCTCGTTAAAGGTTGGGCAAATCGGTCTAAATCGTTCCGTGTCCTTGTGTTTTGGTAGCACATAGGACTCCCCAAATCTACCCTTCTGGTCCCAACGGACAAATTTCTTCAAACCACTGTCAGTCATATCTTCCTTGATCTCTCTCAACACTTGCGTTTCCGGAGATTGAACTACACGGTAACCTGAGCTAGTTACAAAAGTGCTCATCATTGTCGAAAAGTATAATGCGGGGTACAATACCAAAGTATCGCCGGGATTTCTGTCAAGCGGCGTTGACACAAGACCATCCAGCTCTTCCTTCACGCGAATCACATCAGCCAATCGCAAATTGCTTGCGCTATCGCTAGTAGCTACGACACATGTGGACAAACGTTCCTTTGAGATCCTCGGGCAAGAGCCCTTGAGGTTATACCAGGTCGAAAATCCCGCGCTAACTTCCCGCAGCAGCAAGTCAACGCGGTTTGTCACCTCAGAGCGAGGAATATCATTCGCATTTGCTAAAATCTAGTGGTGTAACTCTCCCTGACTTAAACGGAAACATACGTGACCTCCCGATCTAGGGTAGGTCAACGCTGTGCAAGTACAAGTCAAAATCTCTCGAGAGGCATAGGCTCTCTGATTATGGATAATGTCACCCACAGACTGGTTTTTAACCCAGACTATGCGGACCTTTTCCCGCGCACGCTTCAGAAAACAGACAGGTAAGTCACACTCCATAATCGCGTCATTAATTACCTTCCTAAGTTCTACAAGTCGAACCCGATCGTCAAACCTCACTCGAATGACAAGATCTGCAGACATACTCAAACCAAACCTATCCCGGACCACGCGAGATACTAAACGTCTCAAATACTTGCGTGTGGATTTCTTACAAAAATCTTTGATGGCATTGTAAACTCTTATCATCGACTTCAGTCCCCATGAATTAGCATCAGCTAGCTTACCTGGGTTCCTCAAAATTTGTAACAATACCTGTTTCAGGTAGCCACCCTTTGATTTCCATACACGGAGGTATTCGATTTGCACTTCTCCACCTGTCTCGAAGATGTTCTTGCAGAGCTTTAGATGTACGGTACCAGCAGCAGTCTTCACCGAAGATTCACCAAACTTCCGACGAATCGCCTTCCAACCATGCGCCCAGGTGTTCCCACCACTCGATTCAATCACAAATTTTATGTTTCCGGCCTTATCCTTGGTTGCCAGGATTTGCCCGAGATCGAGCGAGAATGTCTCCTCATCGGATCGAAAGCGGACAACTCGGCAATCTCGAGGTATAGTTCCTCCCAGTTTATCACTCCTTTCTTTCTTCCCCACGCGTCGCTTCGCCCGCCCTCGGTTGTTCCGCTTACAGCCACTTGTATTGAGGAATGGAGACCACTGCTTGATGTATACAGCTTCGAGCTCAAGAAGCTCCTCATTCTCGGCAAAATCCACAGGTATCAGCACGTAGTTACCCAAGCCAAAAGTGCAAAGCCACCGATGAAAATGTGACTTCTTCTTATTCCGACATGCAGACAAATGCTCACGCCAGCGTACATCAACGTTACGCATGGTTTTACCCACGTACGGCAGCTTACAGAATGGTGAAACAACTAAGTAGACACAACCTTTCAAATTTAAGAATCCAATCTCATGTGCTTCGTACAATCTTCGCCAGGACTCCACAATCTTCTTCGTCCATCGGATTTCACCTCTCAGAGATAGTAGAAGGATGCACAAACGAAGTAGTTCCTCCGCCTTAGTATCCATGTGTTTCTCTTGGCAACGTTGTCTTGGCAAAAGTCGGATGATGCGCCATATCTCTTCAGCTCCGTAAACGCATCAAGCGTCTTGATCTTGCTCCTCGTCTTCAGCAGTTGTAGTTCTGTCTTCATTCAGGTTCATCTGCCCAGATAGGTCGACCGGTTCAATTTCTCCGAAGGTCTTTCTTGTACGGTAACTCGCGATGTCAAAGTTGGCATCGATCTTGCCGTTGTATGCTACTCCTTCACTTTTGCAAATCGCCTGCAATTCTTGCACGTCCATCCCGCGGAGTTCCTCAATAACTTGGTTGCGGAACCTCAGCTTCGCCACTGTACTAGGTTGACCGGGGGTCTTCTTCAACTTCTCAACATAAGGTGACAGCTTAGTCTTCACTTTAGCCTTCGATCTAGAGCATCGGGTGCCTCCTGTAGAAGCTCTCTCTTTCGGAACTTTCGGAGTCCGTTTCGTAGGTGTTAGCATCGGCGGGCTGTCCTCAAACTCAGGTTCAGGACCACATTTCCGCTTCTCACTAATCACCAGGCGCCCTGTCTTGGCTCGGATTTCTTCCGTTGTACTGCTGTCACTGTCTTTCCCCGAACCTGGTTCAGGGTCAGATACGTAGACCACTCGTTTTTTGCCCTTCACCTTGCGAGCTAGAGTCAGTGCCGGTCCCAGATTCGCTTCAATTCGGTCGAAAAACTCCCCTGTCTTGATAGCAATCTGGAGCTCCACCTTCTTCTTGATCTCCGCCAATCTCTCCTTCTCTTTTCGTACCTTCTCCAATCTTCTTTGTTCTTTTCTTTGCTGCTCCAACTTCTCAGCCGCTAGTCTTTGTTCCTCCTCCTCCGCCTCTTTCTTCGCTTTCTCCTCCTCCGCCTTCTTTAGTTTCTCCGCTTTGACAAACTCGGACATACTCGCCAAACTCTTAGTAAGCTCTTCCAACTGCTGACGCAGTTCCGGATTCTGGGATGTAGAAGCTCACGTTCCTCGATCCCTCCATTCTTGGTGACGTTGATCGGCCTCTTTGAACATCATATGATGTCGACGGACGACTCTCAATCGCAGGTCTATTGTTCCGACACTGATTAGCATAGTGCCCTCATTCTCCTCAGGAGAAGCATCTTGGTGGAGATCGTCTATAGAAACGCTCTCCTCCTCGATCATACTGTCGGTCAGAACTCATGCTGATTCCTCTCTCCTCACTTCCAGATCTGGTCCTCCTGTAGTCATGGTCCCCTCGGTCAGCCATCTTCAAAGCCCTTCCTCTCTGAAATTCGTGATGTAAAAGTAACAGAAAACGTAACCACGGAAGGAGAAAATCACGCTCACTAATCTCGGTAATTTCTCTCCGAGAAAGTTAACGTGTGCAGTATCAAGTTGAATGATACAGGAGTATGTGAAACAAAGCACACACAGTCAGCGTAAATTCACTCAAGCGTCAATTCACACAGACACAGTACATGTAGTCAACTTCAAAATCGTATTAACAATCAAAGCATTACGCTGGAAAATCAAATGATTCAGGAACGGCGTCCCCGACGCCGCGTTTCGGCAACAGCCACGTTGCCTTCATCAGGGGGTATCCACCTACTTCTCCCTCAATAAAACCTCCTTCCTTCCTTCCCACTTCCGTACCTTCGGCTACACCCACTCCGGAATGACTGTAGCTTCCAGTCCCGTCAGTCNCTTCTCCCTCAATAAAACCTCCTTCCTTCCTTCCCACTTCCGTACCTTCGGCTACACCCACTCCGGAATGACTGTAGCTTCCAGTCCCGTCAGTCCAGAAAACATGGTCGGGCCGTGCCGCGGCTGGAAAAAAAAACATGGTCGGGCCACGGCCGGGGTTTGGCCGATACATCTGGGCCATGGCCAATCTGGGGTGTGGCCGAGACATCTCGGCCGTGGCCAATCTAGGGTGTGGCCGAGACATCTCGGCCGTGGCCAATCTGGGGTGTGGC